AACGCAATCAACACTCGAAAAGACATTCATGTGCAATTGGCCGTCAAGAATCGGTCATTTAAGCACGATGATGAAAAAAAAACCGATTTTCGACGATTTAAAATTTACGAGTACTCTAGTAATGGATATTGAGTTATATAAATATATTAGCCCTCTAATTTTAATTAAAAAAAAAAAACAAAAAAAACAAAAAACAATGTTCACGTGTGTAATCAACATTTAAAATATATTGTTTTTTAAAGTCACTTAAAATCAATTTAATTTCTGATTTTCAGAAATAGAAAAACTAATGCGCAAAAATAATCGATTCTTGTGTAAGAATAAACATACTTTTCTTTTCCAGATATCGTAGTGTAAAGGTTCTTGTCTTTAAATCGTTTTTTTGTGTAGTTTGTTCTTTTCTTTTCTTTTCCTTTTTTCTGTTTTTTGAACATCCTAACGAAAGCCGAGAGGCTCGCAAAACCCCTCTCGGCCCTAGGTTCGGCACTCGTAACTAGGGTTCCGATCGACCGGTGCCGAGACCCACCTTCCAATCACCGTACACACCCTTGGATTCTCTCACAACTGTTGTTACTGTTGTTTCGCGACGAACTATACGACAGCAATCTTCTCGACGAGAAGATCGCTATCGCGCGCTCAGTCGGCGTGTTTCCGAGAAGTCGTCTTCTCCAATCTAATGCCCTGTGTATTGCAAAGAATGCCGTGTAGAATAAAGAATTCACTTGTTTACTTCCTTCTAAATTCACTCACGCATGTATCGTAAGACATGTTTGACTGAATACGTGTTAACCCCACGCATGTGTTTCGTAAAGAATATACAAGAATAAAAAAACATATATGATGATACATGTACACTCGTGTACTCGTGTGTATTTATGTATCATTCATATATGCGTGTATAGATACATTACACATGTACGCAGGTATTCACATATTCGCATATGTACATATTCCGGACGGATCACATAACTTGATATTAGCAAGCTTTTCACGATATCATATTTAATATGATGCCATCGCATTAATATGTGTCAAGATAGTGAAGAATTTTTTTCGCATAGATTTTTTGATAAACGGGGCACCAGCAGAAGAATTCGACTCCTCTTTCTCTCTTTCTCTTAAGATTCTTCATTATTGTTTGTCTATTTTTTTTTCTTTTTTTTTTTTTTTTTTTTATTTTTTTTTTTTTTTTTTTTTTTTTTTTTTTTTTTTTTCTCATCACAAAATACACAAGGGTTAAGT